ACCACCACCACCAACAACACCTTCAACACTCACTTCCTACAAGAGGCATCAGAGGACCCGGCGCGGAATAACACTCTGCCTAGTAATCGTCGCCGTGAGATGGACGGAGATAGAATCTAATTACCTCATGCATTATTAATCTCACGTTCTCTATCTGCAAGCCTTGAACATGAGTAGGACATGCTGGGTCTTGGTAAGCTGTTAGGACACGCTTGAGTGATGACCTAGGGTGTGGCAGGATGTTATGACACGCTTGAGTGATGACCTAGGGTGTAGCAGGATGTTATGACACGCCTGAGTGATGGTCCAGGGTGTGGCAGGGTGCAATGACACGCCTAAGTGATGGTCCAGGGTGTGGCAGGTTGCCATGACACGCCTAAGTGATGGTCCAGGGTGTGGCAGGGTGCTATGACACGCCTAAGTGATGCTCCAGGGTGCGGCAGGTTGCAATGACACGCCTAAGTGATGGTCCAGGGTGTGGCAGGGTGAAATGACACGCCTAAGTATTGCTCCAGGGTGTGGCAGGATGCAATGACACGCTTGAGTGATGACCTAGGGTGTGGCAGGGTGCTATGACACGCCTGAGTGATGATCCAAGGTGTAACTTGTTCAAATGGCTTTTAGAAAATGTTCAAATGATTTTTAGAATATTTTAATTACTTTTGCAATGCTAATTACTCGCCACTTATGGGTTTTCGAGGTCATTTCTTGGTGCTTGTGTATTATTCTGGATGTACTTAAATAGTTAGGCACATTAAATTTTAGTTCAGAGAGAAAACGTATTTTTGGCCAAAAATCCGTTAAGGCTTTAGACTTACAATTTTTGTCATTTTCGGCCAAAAAATGGATTTTGTTCAAAATTTCAGTATAGGTACTCCTGAATGTGCTGCTTAAGGATCTGTTAACCAAAATTTGATATCTTGATTATAACTTGTTCAAATGGCTTTTAGAAAATGTTCAAATGATTTTTAGAATATTTTAATTACTTTTGCAATGCTAATTACTCGCCACTTATGGGTTTTCGAGGTCATTTCTTGGTGCTTGTGTATTATTCTGGATGTACTTAAATAGTTAGGCACATTAAATTTTAGTTCAGAGAGAAAACGTATTTTTGGCCAAAAATCCTTTAAGGCATATAGACTTACAATTTTTGTCATTTTCGGCCAAAAAATGGATTTTGTTCAAAATTTCAGTATAGGTACTCCTGAATGTGCTGCTTAAGGATCTGTTAACCAAAATTTGATATCTTGATTATAACTTGTTCAAATGGCTTTTAGAAAATGTTCAAATGATTTTTAGAATATTTTAATTACTTTTGCAATGCTAATTACTCGCCACTTATGGGTTTTCGAGGTCATTTCTTGGTGCTTGTGTATTATTCTGGATGTACTTAAATAGTTAGGCACATTAAATTTTAGTTCAGAGAGAAAACGTATTTTGGCCAAAAATCCTTTAAGGCTTTAGACTTACAATTTTCGTCATTTCGGCCAAAAAATGGATTTTGTTTAAAATTTCAGTATAGGTACTCCTGAATGTGCTGCCTAAGGATCTGTTAACCAAAATTTGATATCTTGATTATAACTTGTTCAAATGGCTTTTAGAAAATGTTCAATTGATTTTTAGAATATTTTAATTACTTTTGCAATGCTAATTACTCGGCACTTATGGGTTTTCGAGGTCATTTCTTGGTGCTTGTGTATTATTCTGGATGTACTTAAATAGTTAGGCACATTAAATTTTAGTTCAGAGAGAAAACGTATTTTTTGGCCAAAAATCCTTTAAGGCTTTAGACTTACAATTTTTGTCATTTTCGGCCAAAAAATGGATTTTGTTCAAAATTTCAGTATAGGTACTCCTGAATGTGCTGCTTAAGGATCTGTTAACCAAAATTTGATATCTTGATTATAACTTGTTCAAATGGCTTTTAGAAAATGTTCAAATGATTTTTAGAATATTTTAATTACTTTTGCAATGCTAATTACTCGCCACTTATGGGTTTTCGAGGTCATTTCTTGGTGCTTGTGTATTATTCTGGATGTACTTAAATAGTTAGGCACATTAAATTTTAGTTCAGAGAAAACGTATTTTTGGCCAAAAATCCTTTAAGGCTATAGACTTACAATTTTCGTCATTTCGGCCAAAAAATGGATTTTGTTCAGAATTTCAGTATAGGTACTCCTGAATGTGCTGCTTAAGGATCTGTTAACCAAAATTTGATATCTTGATTATAACTTGTTCAAATGGCTTTTAGAGAATGTTCAAATGATTTTTAGAATATTTTAATTACTTTTTGCAATGCTAATTACTCGCCACTTATGGGTTTTCGAGGTCATTCTTGGTGCTTGTGTATTATTCTGGATGTACTTAAATGAACAGGCACGTAGAATTTTAGTTCAGAGAGAAAAAGTATTTTTGGCCAAAATCCTTTAAGGCTTTAGACTTACAATTTTTGTCATTTCGGCCAAAAAATGGATTTTGTTCAGTCCATTTCTTGGTTGCTGTGTATTATTCTGGATAGCTAAGTAGTTGGGCACGTTAAATTTTAGTTCAGAGAAAACATATTTTGGCTATCGCTAAGGCTATAGACTTACAATTTTGTCATTTCGGTAAAAAATGGATTTTGTTCAAAATTTCAGTATAGATTGCTCTGAATGTTGCTGCTTGAGGATCTGTTAGCAAATTTGATATCTTGATTATAACTTGTTCAATGGCTTTTGAAAATGTAAATGATTTTTTAGAATATTTTAATTAAATGCTAATTACTGTTTATGGGTTTTTCGAGGTCATTTCTTGGTGTTGTGTATTATTCTGGATGTACTTAAATAGTTATGCACATTAAATTTTGGTTGGAGAAAACGTATTTTTGTTCTTTGAGCTATAGACTTACAATTTTCAATGCATTTCTGGCCAAAAAATAAGTTTTGTTCAGAAAGTACAATATAAAACAGTACTCTTTTAGATATTTTTTGCGCCAGGATCTGTTAACCAAGAATTGATATCTGGAATTATAACTTGTTCAAAATGGCTTTTTGAAAATGTTCAAATGATTTTTACGATATTTTAATTACTTTTACCAATGTACTATTACTCGCCACTATGGGGTTTTCTGAGGTCATTTCTTGGTGCTTGTGTATTATTCTGGATGTATACTTAAATAGTTAGGCGTGAAATTTTAGTTCAGAGAAAAACGTATTTTGGCCAAAATGCTTTAAGAGCTATAGACTTACAAATTTCAAGCCCAAAAATGGATTTTATTAAAAATTTCCGTATATTCCTACAGATACTGCACTTGAGGATCTAATGTAGAAATTTGATATCTTGATTACCGCTTGTTCCGATGGCTTTTGAAAATGTTCAAATGATTTTTTACAAGATATTTTACAGGCCACTTTTACCCATCTTTAATTACTCGCCGCCATGGGTTTTCCGAGGTCATTTCTTGGGTACTTGTGTATTATTCTGGATGTACTTAAATAGTTAGGCACATTAAATTTTAGTTCAGAGAAAAGCATATTTTTGGCCAAAAATCCTTTAAAAGGCTATAGACTTACAATTTTCAAATATTTCGGCTAAAAATGGTTACGTTCAAAATTTCAGTATAGAATTACTCCTCTCGGATATTGCACCTTGGGATCCTATTACTTAAAATTTGATATCACCAGAGATTACTAACTTGTTTTCAAATGGCTTTTAGAAAATGTTCAAATGATTTTAGAATATTTTTAATTACTTTTTGCAATGCTAACATTACTCGCCATATGGGTTTTCGAGGTCATTTCTTGGTGCTTGTGTATTATTCTGGATGTACTTAAATAGTTAGGCACATTAAATTTTTAGTTCAGAGAAAACATGTATTTTTGGCCAGAAATCATGGAAATATAGACTTACAATTTTCGTCCATTTCAGCCAAAAAATGGTTGTTCAAGGAATTCAGTATAGGTACTACTGAATGTACTTGCTTGGGGATCTATTAACCAAAATTTGATATCACCAGTTATAACTTGTTCCAATAAGCTTTTAGAAAATGTTCAAGTGATTTTTTGGGAATATTTTTTTAAATTACTTTTTACCTAATCTTACTCACTGCTTATGGGTTTTCAGATCATTTTCTTGGTGCTTATGTATTATTCTGGATATTACGCTTAAATAGTTAGGCACACATTAAATTTTGATTCAGAGAAAACGTATTGGCAAAAATCCTTTAAGGCTATGGGCACCCACAATTTTCGTCATTCAGCCCAAAAATAGATTTTGTTTCCAAAAATTTCAGTGCTCAGGCACTCCTGAATGTACTTTTTGGCATGAGGATCTGTGGCAATTTGACTTCCTCTTGATTATATCAACGTTTCCAAGTATTTTGAAAAATGTTCAAATAGTTTTGCAGGCTCTTTTAATTCTTTTTACCAATGCCTAATTACTCGCCACTTATGGGTTTCGAGGTCATTTCTTGGTGTGTCTTATTATTCTGGATGTACTTAAATGGATTAAATGCATTAAATTTTAGTTCAGAAGAAAAACGTATTTTAAGCTTAAAAAATCCTTCAAAAGCTATAGACTTTTACAATTTTCGTCATTTCGGCCAAAAAATGGATTTTTGATTCAAGTCTAAGTATAGGTACT